ATATATTTTCCTAATTATTATTGCTGTATGGTTATTTCACAGAATCAATCTTTTCACCATCTTCAAACAGTCCAACATTGTCAAAGGTACTGCTACCTAGTGTCAACAATTCAAAGGAGACAATACAAAACATAAATTTATAATTATAATGGTTCTGCAAACTGAAATAAGTGAGGACTTATACTGTAAAAAAGCACAATTGATTTCTATGGTGTGATGGTCAGGTAAGATTTTTTTTGTTTATTTTGATCATCAGCACACAAGATAAATTATCATATGTTTAGTGATGTCAATGCACACTCGTTGCTACTTTTGTGATGCCACTGGATACTTGTCACTTTTGTAATGCTTGTTGTAGTAGAGACTTTGTAATCGCAGCTACAACTATAATATGCCTTTGAACAATACTGGTGTCAGACGCCTTCGAATGGCACTTGCACTAATAGTACTTGCTCAATAATACTTGCTTGAATAGTAATCCATATACTGAAATAGTATAGAAAATAGCAGTTCATATAGTGATAGAGGATAGAGGAGAAATAGTGATCATTTAGACATCACATGACTTTCTACTTGTGTGTTTCCTCTATGTTCACGTGGTCTACTTTATTCAATATTGAGATCACCTGTGTTTGCTCAATGGTGATCTATGCTCAAACTCAAGTGTCGGCAGTGACACTTTATTCCTACATAACAATATGACATGGAGCTCAAGATGGAAAAGAAGACCATTACTAATAGAAGGAATTTGATCCTTAGTTGATGTAGCACTATCAGGTTAAGCTCATCTGAATAAAGATCTATAGTCCACCCAAAAATGAAGTTATATCTTAAAAGGGTAGTGGCAAGAGTCATGATAATTATATTTATATAAAGTTAAAAGAAAATAGAAAAAGTAATTATTATTTCATCAAAATTTTATAATAGATTTAATTTAAATATTTATTAACATTATAAAACAAAGATTGCATACTGAAAATATATATATATATATATATATATATATATATATATATATATATATATATATATATATATATATAAATATATTTTCCATAATATATATTACAGAAAATAGCAGTAATAGTTAAATTTTAATTTGTTCAAGAGATCATTTTTATATGGTGAACAATCACACAAATTATAAACATTGATATGAAAATATTCATCATATTTATTCAGCTTAATCTGTTGCATGGCTAAATAAGGTGAAATGAAAATAGGAAGATCATAATGCAGTAAAAAAAAAAAAAAATGCAAGGCTTGAGATTAACATCATCCTGGGAATGGCAGAACATTAGTTTGGGAAGAACGGTTATTTTTTTATTTTTATTTTTTTTTTTATAATGCCAGGATAATACACAATTTTTAATTAAAATTATATTCTAAAAGCAACTAATTTCTTAAAAAAAAAAACCCCCAAAAAACATTTTACTTCTGATCAATATTTATGGGATTTTAATAAATGGAGCATGCAAATGTGCACACACAAAAGAAAAACAATTTAAGTGCTTCTTTTTACACTGGTGAATGAAATCTGCTTTAAAAAATGAATGTTGTAAGATCTTTTTTATGTATTTGTATTATCTGTCAATGTTAAAAGCATTAAGATCTAATTGTATAACTAATTTTGCTTAAATAAACAAAAAACAGAAAAATATTTTTTCCATCAATTTTTGGTTAAAAAAAAACTTGTATAAAATTGAGAAACTTATTTTCCTGAAAAATTGTTTTAATAGCAAGATTTTATAAATTTCAACCAAAAGTAGCACTGGTTGCACCGTCAGTGAATGCCCCATAAACAAACTGTTAATATTACCATTTATATATTCTGTTTTCTTATCAAACTAAACTAGGTACCTCCCCTCAAAAAGAAAAAAATACTAATTTTTAAAAATGAAAATTATTTCTTGAAGCTTTTTAGTTTGAAATTTTTAGATTAAATTTAATATTTCCAATAAGCGAAATACTTTGCTGTATTTCAAAAACTAATTTAAATTAACTGGAAGGATGTACTTTTCTGAAACTTTATTTGAGGAATATTAGCTTATTTAAAGTATGATTAATCCAATTTGAAACAACCATTATTTATTTTAAGATATCACAGAAATGTACTTTTTTAATCCAGCAGTAGCTATTTATTTAAGATGTTGTCAGGTTTGACAGTGATAATTTATCTAATGTTGTTCTATAGGGGCTTTAGGTGTTAAAAAAGTAAATGAATTAACGTGAGCACCTTTTATATAAAATTTTTAATTACTCAGTAATCTTAAAAATGTAAGAAAATATTCAACGTAATCCAATTAATGTTTTATTGAATTTTAAATATTTTGTGCTTTTTTTGCTATAGTTGTCTTATTTTCTGATAATGCCATGTACCATATAAAGAAAATTGGCATGTTTATATACACATAAAAATTCCAAATTCTTTTAAAAATATTGGTGTTTGATGATTTGTACTAAACTTTTCAATTTATGATTAGTAAATATAGTTTTCACTTAATATATCTAAAAATGTTATACTAATACAGAATTTTAAAAGATAAAAATAAAATATATTTAAAACTTTAGTTATACTAATTAAAATGTAAAAAAAAAATGAAAACAAATCTGGTAAAAAAAAAAAATTCTATCACCTGAAGAAAGCTGGAGTGTACAGTATCTTAAATATGGCAATAAAGATGAGGACAGTAGTCCAAAAGATGTAAATTGTGTAGATAAGAACATTTCTATATAAAATTTATTAAACCAAAATGTTCAATTAAAAAAAAAATTATTTTTATAAAATATTATAAATTATAATTTGCTTTTGTACTTTAAAAACTTTTATGTATTTGTATTCTGTGACTGTTCTGGGACAATGGTAAAAAACAGTATGGAGCCTGGCTGAAAAAACTGACATATCACAATGCTGTGATGAGCCACTCTTTTCTAGTATCAAATTTAAAAATCAGTGCTTAAAATTTGGGCTTTTACTTGGACTCTTAACATTAGTCACTGATACTAATCTGAGATTTATCTGTCATTCAGAAGATCTACACATCATACACGCACACACAATAAACAAAAACCCTCTTCTGCTAAGTGATGGTTAGTAAAATAGCCTTGCAAAGCATTACATATTCAATGCTTAGTGCTCCATTATTGTTTTTGTGCCAGTACAACCTATATACACACATGAAAGAAACAAGGCTAACTTAACAAAATTTTCTTTTAAGTTTTAAATCTTAATTTTTTATATAGCAGTTTAAAATCTTTTCTTTCACTAACTCAAAGTAAATCACTTAATTATTTATTGATGAATTTTTAACTTCAGACATATTCAAATATTTTAACAAAGACCCCTGAAATAATTTATTTATGTTGACAATCCTTCAATACTGAAAATTAACCATTTTTACCTTTTAAGGATATCAATTCTTTTAATCATGCTCTGTAATTATTGCTATATCCCTTTTGTTTTAGAGAAGTAATAAAGGTACTGCATTTTATCCAAGTATGACTGGAAAATGTTGAAGTGTCTATGTGTAAATAAGGGAAATGCTCTACTCCCCAATCCTGCCAGAACATTTCTGGAAGTGTGTAATGGCATAGACTTGTTTTAAAGAATATGTTGGACTCTGGAGCCAAGATAGGTCAGAATGAAGTTGAAAATCATACTTGGGCTTATGTTATTAGATTGATGCAGAAGTTTCACCTTTCTTTTGACAAAATCTTTATGGATATAAATTCATAGCATCATTATTCAGTTATGCTTTCCCTGGCTTTTTATGACATTGTACCAACTTTTAAATAATATTGTATAAGAATGTTGATGTCTTAAACTTGTTTGAACTGCTGACTTAAAGAGTTTTGTCTAGAGCAAAACAATTGATAGTCTGAAGAATATGCTGTATGTGGAAGAAATCCTTGTTCCAGTTCTTTAATTTCTTTTGTTGCATTACTTTTGCAACATTTTCATGCAGCAAAATGACCTGCCAAAACTTTTGTTACAGTGCATCATTCATATAGGCTGCTCACTGTAGTGGTGTGAAGTAATTGTTCAGGTTCCATCAATCATAATTCAATCTTTTTAAATTCTACCAAACATCAAACTTTTTATCTAGCTGATTCTGTCAAGACTGATATTGAATATTGTCCTGGATCTAACCAAATTATTATTTTTTTTTTTTTTGTTTTGCTTTGGATTCTCTTGTTTTTCACCACGAATGACTATTTTGTCCCTATATATCTTTGTCAAGCAAGGAGTGAAAGACAAGTATTGAAAAGCTGGCTGATTTTTGTTTCAATTTAATATAGAAACTTTTTTTACTCTTTAAATAAGTCCATATTGTCTTCCTGTTTACTAGAAACGTCTTGTTTGCATAAGATATTTCTCAAGTTTAGTTTATCATAGCTTAGCTGAGTTTTAGTTTCATGCAGCTATTCTCAACAGGAATCATGGAACATTTGAAGGGGTCTGTAGACTGAAACTATGAAAAGGAGAGCTCCAAGTGTGGTTTTAATAAAACAAGAAATCTCACATTCCTATGCATTGCTTCCTGTATTTTACCACAACTGACCCAAAAGCTTTATAAGGGCCCTTTAATTGAACCAATGAAGTAGTAGTTTAACTTAAAAATAGACATTGCTCCTGAGTTACCTGTTTTTAGACAGGTTTGCTGTTTTGGTCAAATATATGCATAATAATTTCTATTATTTTCAGAAAACAATAATTAAAAGAAGTACAGTAAAGCACTAAATTCAAGGACCATATTTAGCCTGATATTTAATTTCATGTATTTTTTTTCTGTCCAACATGTCAGAATGTTGAAGATTTCCTGGTGTTCAATAATAAATGAATTTCTGTCTATTTGTTTGAGTTGCATCCCTGTTTGTTGGAGGGCTTTGTTACCTGAGAAGCACTCTAAAGAGAGCTATAACCAACAGACTGATGCCAATGGTTGCTCCAGATACAATAGTGTGATATCCAGTGAGAATTAAACTTTCTCACCATTTTTATGCAACAAGCTCCTTCTTGGGTAAAATTACACTAGAAATGATCTGAGAAATATGCTTGCTGGCTATTGCTCTATCGTATGCATTCACTATCTTGTTTACAACATGAAAAGGGAATGATGTTTAGTGACATGCAATAACTGAGTTTTGATTGTCTGAAAATTTATATTTTCTATTGCAAATGTTGACAAAACTATCTTTTTTGCTGGTAAATAAGCAGTTATCTTTTTTTTTTTTTTTTTTTTTTTTTTTCCAATTGTTATGACCAATTTGATGCTGGTATATTTTGAAATTGTGTATTTCTCGGGACTAATTTCAAGTAAATCTTTTTAAGAAAATGCAAAAGATACTAGAAAGCACTTGAAGCAAAATATTGCAATACTGAAATAAATAAGAATAGGGGGCTGGGACATTGAGAAACTCCTAGTTCCTTGCTTCCTGCTTCTCCACTCTCTTACTGAAATTTGGGTGACTCAGTGGATCAAACATTCCTGTTGTGGCAAGACACTTGTCTCTGTCTTTTCGTTGTTAGGGTCTGTTTCACATCAATTTTTTTTCCTCTCAAGCTGACTCAGCTGTGATATGTATATGTGTTCATGTGGCTGTGTTAATTCATTGAAACAAGATGCAATATTGTCATTAATCACCGACTGGAGTTGAGCCAAAGATCTTAATTCTAATATTACCCCACTTTTCTCTCCTATCCTAGACCTTGATGGTGACTATGGTTATGAGACATACAGAATGCACTAACAGCTCCTATGTTTTAAAGAAGAGGAGACACTATTATTGAAATAGGAGGCAAATGACCACTGCTCTTGCTTCTAAGTTCTCTTATTCATTTTATTTTTTATTTATATTTAGAAATTATCTACATAACTTTTATTGTCTTTTTATCAATTTTTTTTCATGTTAATATTTTATCTTAAAAATCAACAAAAATTTACTTACACTCATCAATGTCTTTTATTTATGTATTTTTAGGGATTTAAAAAATGTTTTTCTGTTGATCAATAAGAGTTGACTCCTGAAGTGGAAAAGGTTTACTTATAATAATATTCGTATAAAAATGTCTAGGCTTCTATCAAACAATTGCCTTCAATTTTTTTTATCCTTTTTATCAAAGACTTTTTAAATAACTTTTTTTTCATTCATGTTTTATGGGTTTGGAATTACATTTACACCAAATTTTTAAGCCAAACAGATTTATTATGAATTTGAGCACTTTGTTCTTTTTTGTGACCTCCATATCTTTAATTGTAACTATCCTTCTATGCTATCTTCTTTGTTTCCCTTGTTGGGTAGTGTCAAATTTATGTATATATTTTAAAAAATTTAATTGAAATAGAGATTCACCAACAACAGTTTTCTATTTTTATTATATATTTTAGAATATAATAAAAGAAATGAAAGTTGGTGTTACATGTTCCATGAAGGTGTTAATGTGCCAGCAAATTATTGATTTAACCTTTAAATTTCATCACTTTTTTTTTTTTTTCTGCTATCATGAAAACATTATCAATCCTTTTCCAGCTAATAGCATATATAATTCTTTTCCTCCCTCAATGTCTTTTGGTTGGCTTCTTCCATCCAAAGTTATGGTGTTCTGAACTTTTAGATGAGAGTCAGATTATACTGTCTTTGAGTTTGTTGATTTAATATCCATTGTCTCCAAGTTAATAGACTTTGCTTTTTTCTTTTCTTTTCTTAGTAATTCAATTTGGCACTTAGAATGAAAATGCCTTTTATAACTTTTGTCTGTTATTGATAGATTATAAGGAATCTTAGCACATTGTACTTGGAGAGAGCTTCAAAAGATATATATTAGGCAGAATGATTATTATGGTAATTGGGTAATGAAAATGTTTTGATTCCACTGTCTTCATTTCAGAATAGCCAGTGGTGCTTAAGATATATAATGCTTCTATATATTTTTTCTTTTTTGTTTGATCTCATGAATACAGTGGAATAACAATATAGATAGTTATTTTAGCATCATCATTGCAGAATTCAAATAATCCTAGATTTTGCTAGGTTTGTTGAGAGAAGCCTATGTTACATATAATTTTAAAGCTCTTTTTGTTCACAAAGCTTTTGACTACTGTGTTTTCCAATTTTCTTGAGTGTGTCATATTTGGTAATTCTCTAGAAATGTTGAACACCAGTGGATCAAATAAAGGGTTCTATTTGACCTTCCTGGGAGCTTATCTAATGTGTTACATACCTACAGAAGGTTGTAAAGTATAGTGGCTGAAACACCACCATCTTGTCTCAGAAATTCAGATAGAAATGGCTTTTATGTTTGTTATCTTTAAAAATTAAGATTATATTGGATTAAGTATTTTTTGTAAGAAAACAAAACAATCAAAATGAATATTATTAGTATTATTTATTATCCAACTTTACAACATTGAAACCCTAATAAAAACATGAATATGTAGCAGTTAAAAAATAAGTAGATCTTTGCAAAAGAAGTAATTTAAAATCAACATTTTGGTGTTGGTACCATTTTAAGTTATTTTTTATTACTGCTTGTCATCTTGATGACATTAACCTCACTAGATTGGTACAGGCACTAGAATGTTTTTCCTCTCTGAAAGTTTGCAATTCTGTCTTTGATGGTCATCATTTTTCTACTTTGCATTTGACTGCATTTCATTATTGCTCAATTGAATTTAAATCTACTTATATATTAAATCAATAAAGCACTTTTAACTTTTTGATTCTACAGAAACTCTGTTATCTTCTTAGCAGAATGATTTGGATCATTATCATGCTTTTATTCCCAAGCCTTTGAGTGAAAGCAATGTTTTCTTTCAATATTTTTGACATAATCTTCAGCATTCATGATTCTGTCAATGAAATGTAGTTCACTAGTATTACCTAAGCTTTTACAACCCCAGGCCATGACATTTCCACCATTATGTTTAACTTTTGAAATCGAACATTTTTCCTTTATGCATCACCATGATGATGCCAAACTCATGTGATGCCATCAGAGCCAAATAGGTTGTTTTTTGTTTCATCTGACTACAAAATGATGTCCCAAAATTTTGGATTTTATCTTTCTCACATGCAAAGTTTAAAGTCTGTTTGTATTTTGAATTCAGTAGCAGTTTCCTATGCAGTTATCAGCCATTTGAATCTGTCTTATTCAAGGAACATTTGAGCATTATAATTGAAGAATTCATAACATTTTTTCCCCACTTCATTAACAGTATCTGGAGCTGAGTTTCTTCAGTCTTAACCCAGTAATTTCCTGATATAATAAATAGACATTGATGTCACTTTGCGTGATCAACTTAGTTACTTCTGTACACTATGGATTTTCTACTTCTAATTTTGCAGTTTTGGACAGCAGAATTTTTGTTTAGCATCAGTATAGTAGCTATTTTTTGGTGGCTGTGTTCTTCTTGTGCAAATAATGTTCCTAAAAATCAGGAGAGAGTATTTTTTCATTTGAAACCCTCTTTTAAATGTCTGTATTATAAAACTGTCTTCATTAAAATGTTTTAACATTATGCTCTAATTTATATTCAAATTTACTTCAATACTCAACAACAAAAAAAAAAATTTGGTTTGAAAATTATACTTTTATAAAGAATGAAATAAATTTATTTCGCAATGTTGTACTTATTTTTTAACTGTTTCATATTCATAATTATTGGTTAAGTTTCAATGCTGTAGAGTTTGATAATAAAGAATACTGAATAATATCAATTTTGTTTACATAATGTTTCACTAGATATAAAATCTTAGTATGTTTGGTTTAGAAGTAAACTTTTATAAAAAAATAAATTTAGGAGTGCACTTATGGGTGATACAGTTAAAATGTGATTTTTGTAGCATATAATTTATGTAAAATAGTGTTGTATTTAGTTGCTGAATCTCAAAATTCATGATTATCTATAAAAACAAACCTGCGCATATTAAAACCGGGAACCACTGACTAAAAGAAAAAATTGAAATAATATTAGGAAACCATAAAATCTTGTGGAAGATACCAATCATAGTACCAAATTTGTCAACGTTTTTTTCTGTTTGTGCTTTTTCTTTATCTCTCTCTCTTCTTTTCCGTTATCTCTCTCTCTTCTTTTCCGTTATCTCTCTCTCCTTTTCCGTTATCTCTCTCTCTCCTTTTCCGTTATCTCTCTCTCTCCTTTTCGTTATCTATCTCTCCTTTTCGTTCTCTCTTCTCTCTCCTTTTCAGTTCTCTCTCTCTCTCTCCTTTTCGTTATCTCTCTCTCTCCTTTTCCGTTATCTCTCTCTCTTTTCCGTTATCCTTTTCTCTCCTTTTCTCTCTCTCTCTCTCCTTTTCGTTATCTCTCTCTCTCTCCTTTTTCGTTATCTCTCTCTCTCTCCTTTTCGTTATCTCTCTCTCTCTCCTTTTCCGTTATCTCTCTCTCTCCTTTTCCGTTATCTCTCTCTCTCCTTTTCCGTTATCTCTCTCTCTCTCTCCTTTTCCGTTATCTCTCTCTCTCTCTCCTTTTCCGTTATCTCTCTCTCTCTCTCCTTTTCGTTATCTCTCTCTTCTCTCTCTCTCTCTCTCCTTTTTCGTTTTCTCTCTCTCTCTCCTTTTCCGTTATCTCTCTCTCTCTCTCCTTTTCCGTTATCTCTCTCTCTCTCTCCTTTTCCGTTATCTCTCTCTCTCTCTCCTTTTCCGTTATCTCTCTCTCTCTCTCCTTTTCCGTTATCTCTCTCTCTCTCTCCTTTTCCGTTATCTCTCTCTCTCTCCTTTTCCGTTATCTCTCTCTCTCTCTCCTTTTCGTTATCTCTCTCTCTCTCCTTTTCCGTTATCTCTCTCTCTCTCTCCTTTTTCGTTATCTCTCTCTCTCTCTCTCCTTTTCCGTTATCTCTCTCTCTCTCTTTTCTCTCTCTCTTTCGTTTCTCTCTCTCTCTCTCCTTTTCCGTTATCTCTCTCTCTCTCCTTTTCCGTTATCTCTCTCTCTCTCCTTTCCGTTATCTCTCTCTCTCTCTCCTTTTCCGTTATCTCTCTCTCTCTCCTTTTTCCGTTATCTCTCTCTCTCTCTCCTTTTCGTTATCTCTCTCTCTCTCTCCTTCTCTCTCTCTCTCCTTTTCCGTTATCTCTCTCTCTCTCCTTTTCCGTTATCTCTCTCTCTCTCCTTTTCCGTTATCTCTCTCTCTCTCCTTTTCCGTTATCTCTCTCTCTCTCCTTTTCCGTTATCTCTCTCTCTCTCTCTCCTTTTCCGTTATCTCTCTCTCTCTCTCTCCTTTTCCGTTATCTCTCTCTCTCTCTCCTTTTCGTTATCTCTCTCTCTCTCTCTCCTTTTCCGTTATCTCTCTCTCTCTCTCTTTTCTCCTTCTCTCTCCCTTTCCGTTATCTCTCTCTCTCTCTCTCTCCTTTTCCGTTATCTCTCTCTCTCCTTTTCCGTTATCTCTCTCTCTCCTTTTCCGTTATCTCTCTCTCTCCTTTTCCGTTATCTCTCTCTCTCCCTCCCCCTTCCGTTATCTCCCCCCCCTTATTTCCGTTATATCTCTCTCTTTATTACTATATAAGAGGTGAGAAATCTTTTTTATTTTCATGTATTTAATTATATATTTTCACTGGATAGTTTTAGATATTTGTGTTTTTCCATTGGAAACAAAGGCATGAATATAATTCACTGACTTTTGATGATTGAAAAGTGACTCCTTTTGAATTTTAAATACATTGTTTTCTTTTCTTAATTTAAAAGATCATGTATATTTCATTAAATTTGTAAACCTGAAAATTATACAGCGTAAAACACTTTTTTCTTGTTTAAAATTGAAATATTTTCTTTTATTCTTAGAATTTCGGAATATAATTTGTTAGATATTATTTACTGTATACACACTTATCCGCCTTCCCACAAAGCCAGATATGATAAACAATTGAAATGCCACATTTTGGCAAGGTTTAGTTAAACATTTTTTTAAACAAAAAAAAAAAACACTCCTTTAATAAAAGAAGGCTTTAAAGCATCTAGTTTTCATTACAAGTAATGACACATTTCAGAAATAGGTTATTTTTTTTTTTTAATGTTTTTCATACAAATGAGGAGAAAGTTATAGTTTAATTTAAAAAAAAAACAAAAAACATTGAATGTTTGGTCTACAACTATCTTCTACCCTTGTTTATTAATTAGTTTTCATTGATGACATTTATTAGTTTACCTCTTAGCTCACTCTGAATATTTTAATCTTTTGGAGTGAGATGTTATATGATTCACTTATTAACAATTCCTTCTCTAAATACCAAATTGATGTTCCAATATGCACTTGTACAAAAGAGCACTTGTGTTCCATATACAGTATATTTTCAATTTTGGAAAAACTAAGTATATGAAAAAAGAACCATATCAGAAATGAGCTCCAAGAGTAAAATAGATTTCCTAACAGAACCAATAAGCTTGTCACTCAGATCAATACTACTGAAGTAAATATGAGTCTCACTGGGAGCTCCTCAGTTCTATTCTTATGCTAAACTAAGCTTGACTTCAATAGTACAGTACATATCTACTTAAATATATCTTCATGATGCCAAATCCTGAAGCCAATAGTTCATGTGCTACAAACTGATAGGAAGTGAATGCCCTATTTTAATCTTGTCATTTATAAACATTATAGATGTAGTGTGTTTGTGTCAATGTTCAAGACATCCTGTGATACAGATATGACTGTTTTTATCATTGATTTCTTTTTTTCTTGTTCTGTTTCAGAAATCCTACACAATGTATATGATAACATCAGCCTTTGTTCTTCTGCTTATTATGGAAGGGATTGTTTGTCCCCCTGTGAAACCAGAAACAAAACCATCCGAGGGACAAGCAGCACCAGCAAATGACACAAGTGTAAGTCTTATGTATTTTTGTAGATAAAAATTGTCACTTTGTATAGTTTGCTTTTGTCCATATGGATGCCAAATCCTTTCCAGTTATGATCTATCATGACTGCTCCTGCTTCCAAGTAAAGCCTATAACTTGCCATTGATTTTCATTTCCTTCTGTAAGTGAAATTTGGTGTCTTTGATAACATGCAATAGTATCCAGTATTAGAGAACAAAAGCTTAAAAATAAAGTTTCCAATTCTACAGATTTGATTGTGATAAAACTTAACTATGGTATTTTTGCATTAAAAGGAATCATAGATAAAGAAGGCAATAAGACAAAAAGAGTTTATTACAAAAATAATGTGTAGCATCCAAACTTAGGGAACAAACATTGTCATTTCGATTTATGGAGAATTTCTAAAAATGTAAACATTTCTAATGAAATATGACAACATCGCAGTGCAATGCAAATTATGACAAATTTTTAAAACTAATATCCCCAGCAATTAGTTACTATTTTTGATTGATATTACAGTGTAACCCGGATATAAGAGAGTTGTCGGTACCGGAGAAGTCGTCTCTTACATCCGGGTTTCTCTTATATCCGGGTTTGGTCTATTTTGTTTAGGTAAGTATGGGAACACTTTATATAACGCTTTTTACGTACAGAACACTAGTTTATTTAAAAGTTATAGACATAAAAAACACAGACAAAAATGCATTTTCAATCAGTTTTCAAAATAATTCAATCAAAAATTACTTTTTCTTAAAAAAAGTCAATCATTTTTGTTGTACAGAAATCTCTTTAACATCATGAACACTTTCATACAGTCCGTAAATCATTTTCAATGCGCCATCAGGATTACTGCTTTTTGCTTCAAAGTAGGCTGTCAGAGTTTCAAGCGCATTCAATGCAGCCAGAGAATTTGGCACTGGTTTGTCACTTTCAGAAACTTCAGAACTTACGCTTTCAGCATCATCATCTTCGTCAAAATCTTGATCATCCGATTTTATACCACGTGTGATGCCCATGTCAGTCAGTTCTCCATAACATTGTGTATGGTTGTCGAAGCTGATAAATTTGTCAAAATCTGTTTGCCGTCGTTTTGCCGACTTACCAACAACTACAGCTTGCTTTTCACTGTCGTCCATGTTTGTGAACTGAAGCATTGTGAGTCTGTCTTTGGGAACTTTTGTCCCATTTGACTCTTCGTCGCCGGCAAATTGCAAAGATCCAGACGGCATGGCTTTGTAGAAAATTCCCATTTCATCACAGTTCCAAACATCTTTTGGATCATATCCATGAAAAAGTTGCGGCAAAACGTTTGTCACCCATTCGTTGGCAGAACCGTGATCTGCTGATGTTGATTTGCCGTGAAATTTTTTGAACGAAATGTTATTGGCCTGCTTCCAACCATTGCTCGGTTCAAAATCAACTTCAAGATTTACGGCCAGTTGTGATGCTTTCTGCCTGATGACGTGATCGGTGACGGTAGCTCCATGAGCACATGTTTGCGTAAACCATTGTGTAAGTGCTTCGTTAACATCCTTGTGCACAGATTGGCGCTTTTGTTTGCGATTAGTGTTTCCATTCATTTGCATGCAAGATCTGAGATCGTCTTCTTTCTTGAGAATTTTTGCTGCTGTTAAATAACCGATTCTGTACTTTTTGGCTGCAGCGGCCAGTTTGAGTTTTGACATCGTCGATGAGCTCCAACTGTTCAGAAATGCTCAGAGTTTTTTGTTGAGACGCTGACATCACTAATCGCAAACAAACGGTTTTCAGTGGCAAAATTAACAAACAGACAAACTTCTGACTCAACAGAACAGTGGGTAAAGTGAAAGTGCTGTCCAGTAAATGCAACGACAAGCAAAGTCGGCAAAAAAGCGGGCAGCGCTACCCTTAGACACACAAAACAAAATCATAAGGTAGAGGGTGTCTCCTACAGATACAGATTGGACACACGTGTCTTTAGACTAGTCAAGATTAAATCATTGAACTTCACTCTCTCTCTAACTGACCTCTGTTTGACCGATTTACGACATCACACTGTCACTCAAAATGAACTCTCTTATATCGGGGAGTACGGGACCAGAGAAAATCTCTCTTATATCCGGGTCTCTTATATCTGGGTTACACTGTATCTTCATTCTTTAAATTTATATAAGATTTGAACAAATCTTATCCAAAATTTTCTTTTTCTTTTATAATCTTGAAATTTAATTTGAAGGTCAAAACATATATCTGTCAAAGCTTTAATTTAAAAAGAAAAAAGAAAGCTAACAATTTATAATAAAATTAATTAATCTCAGAATTTATAATAAAAACTGAATTGGTTATTGTGGCATCTTTGAGGGATGAGCCCCTGGGATATAGAAGTCTTTGTGAAAGCTACTTATTTATTCTTTCAATAAGAAACTGCTTATGTAATTTGGTAGGTATTAAACTGAGAAAGTTGTAACAAAAGCTTCAAAAAAAAAAAAAAAAAAAAAAAAAAGAGAAAAAAATTAATTCAACTTTCAAGTAAAAAAAAAAAGGGGATACTGAGTGTGTTATTTATTAAAATGGAAATTTAAACTTCTTCAAAATGAATATTTACTTATTTGTGAGTTTGAATCTGAATTTTCTCATCACTAATTTTTTATATTATCGAAGTTAAATGCTTTTTAAATACTATTTTTTCAATGATTGTGAAAAAAATCTGCCTCATTTTTTGTCATACAAAACAACCATAATTTTTCTTATGAAATTTCAAGGGAGATAACCAGTTTTCTTTATCAGCATGGGTTGTCATCTTTAAAATACAACTGAATCTATTTTTTCACTATGAAAGTTTAAACAGTAACAAAAAAAGTTATAATGAACTGAATAATAAAATCATTCATTTTGAATGGAAGATAATTCTGAAAATTAAATAGCTGATTAAAGGAATAGCCATAAAACAAAATGAAAAGCCTTTGTCTAACCAATTTATAGTAACATTGGTTATAGTGGACATTGAAGTCAACACCCATGGCAATTGTGTTTAAGCATGAAACTGACTGTTGCCACTGGGTATTGACCTCAATGTACATTTTATGTATATGTGTATATATCTATATGTATATGTGTATATATATCTATATATCTATATGTATATATATATATATATATATATATATATATATATATATATATAGGGGTTGGACAAAATAATTGGAGCACCTTGTTAAATTCAAAGAAAATTTTTTTAATGTGGAGATATGGAGTTGGTCCACCTTTAGCCTCACACACAGCATTAATACATCTAGGAATGGAATCATACAGCTTCCTGACTTCATCCAGAGGAATTTTCAGTCATTCTTCCATTAACACCTTCTCGAGCTCTTTACGACACGACTATGGAGGATAGCGGCTCCTAACTTGTTGCTTCAAAATGCACCACAAATGTTCAATAATATTGATATCTCGAGATTGTGGAGGCCACTCCATGTGTTCTAGCTCACTCTTATGCTCTTCATGCCAATTCTTAACCACCCAAGCGGTATGTATTGGAGCGTTATCGTCTTGGAAGATGCAGTCACCATCAGGGAATAAAGTCTTGGCCATTGGATGAACATGATCTCCCAAAATGTTCAGGTGATCTTTGCTGTTGATTCTACCATGCTGGGCAACTATTGGACCGAGACATTTACATGATATGGCAGCCCAAACTGTCACTGATCCACCTCCATGCTTCACTGTTGGAAGAAGGCAGTCAGGGTTGTAAACTTCTTTGGGCTGCCTCCACACATAAACTTGCCCTAAAGTTGGGAAAAGAGAAAAACTGGACTAGTTTGAGAATATGACTTGCTTCCATTGGTCTGCAGACCAGGCATTGTGATCTCTGCACCACTTCAACCTCTTTTGAATGTTGCAAGTGGAGAGAAGAGGTTTCCTCACAGTGGCTCTTCCATGATATGCAGCCTTATGGAGCTCATGGTGAACAGTTTTAGTAGAAACTGAACTATTCAGATGGTTATTCAACTCAGCAGTCACTTTGGCCGCATTTACTTAAATTTAGGTACCTCCACGAAATTGCTAAAAAAAGAGCATAGCTTGATGAAAAAGATGCCAACCTTACCAAAAACAAAATTTTATCGTCTAAATGCTTATGTTATTATTAAGAGGAAAGACCAAAGCTTTTTTTTAATTATTTTAAAAAATTTTTCCTTCTTTTTAGAACATTCTAAATTTTGATTTTTTTAAAAAAAAAAAAAAACCTTGTTTCTCTTTGTATCAGCAGAACTAGTAAATAACATAGACAATTTTTAGCACGTTTTTTTTTGGCATGACAAACATTAATTTGGAAAATCTTGCAAAAATATAAATAATTGTCAGATGTTATTGAAACTTTCAGGAACTATTCACAGATGATTAAAATTATTATAAATGTTTTTTTTTTTATTAAAGTCATGGCAGAAATTTTTTTTTATATATTAGCACCCCCCCCCAACTAATTTTATGAAAATGCTAGAAATTCAATAGAGTCTATATTAATGATTACAATAGTTAAAAGCACAAGGCTTTGAGGAATGAAAATCATGTTTGTTTTTTTGTTTTTTTTTAATTGGACATCCGAAAATCAGCTTTGAATTGTAACATACAAAATTCAATAAAACAAAGACATTATTTAATTTCAAATGCTTTTATTTGCTTTTAGCTGTTTTTATGAATATGGACAATATTTTCTGAAAGCAAAAAATTTTTTTGATGAAAAATGAATTTTTAATACAATTATTTGTTATTTCTTAATTATAATAGATTTTTAAATTTAATTTTTTAAAATATTATAAAATTAGTTAAAAGCCGCATCAGGTTTCCTAAGTGTCCTTATAAGATAGATCTTTTTTTAGCGCATTGTAAATTGTATCATTTTGACTAATCAGAAGATTCGCAGTAATTAAGAAATGTAATTTTGTGTTTATAATCAAGCTGTAATTATAACGTACAGAAGACCAACCAGAATACAATTAAGTTGCGTTATTTGAGTTAAGCATTGT